CAGACTGCTGATGCAGGGAGTGTTGTGCTGAGCAGACCGCTCCCCAGACAAAAGCAGTCAAAGTGGCTTAGATATGCTGATTATAACCATGATGCTGTGTTCGTGGAGAAACACGCCACATCTCTGTGTACTCATGTCCTACTTGGCTGTTAGTTTGCTCTTCTTCTGGGCTCACTGAGTGTGTGTTGGCGCTGATTCAAATGTTTTTCTTTTTTGTCGAAGATGGAAAGAGTCTTTTTACCAAAGTGCTGATGGCAACTGAGTGTTGAGTTTTATTCTGCCAATATTTCAGAATTTTACCAAAGGAAAAATGACTCAAAAAAAGTGGATTTGTCAATGGGCAGAAAATACATTAATGTTTAAATTATGTTTTAAAGTGCCCCTGCACACCACCCTCCACTTAACACTGGGTTGATATTTGCCACCATGTCATTTATTAAAGTAGTGGAACATTTAGCTTAGAAGGGGTTTTTACACTTATACTATGGCCACGTACCAAAAAGTGCCATATAAATTTTTTATTTACCAATGGAACAGATTTTTTTCTCATATTTGATTAAAAAAACACATTCTTCATAGAACATATATTCTTATTGGAAACACAAAGGTTAATTCATATCAATTCATGATAAAACACACCTTACGTCTGGTATGACCAATAGCTGCGAGTGGCTGATGTAGGTCATCTTTAAACTGCTAATTGTAATGTTTGACCACAGTGGCCACTGTTCAGCAAAAGTTACACATTAAGTAATCCAACCTGAACGACCACACAGGTCCTTTGTTCCAACCCTCTGATACAACCCATAGGAGCGTCTCCTGAAACAGAGCCCCAACAGACCTTTGTCGGATGTTGATTACTTCCTCAACATTAGACGATCTTTGTTGTCATGGTTACAATAAAAGCAACAAACGGTCATGGATAATATTAACAACATAAACTGCTACTTTCACATGGGAATCGAACACCACTCTCCTGTGTCATATTCATCCATCCACCACAACCTCCTCCTGACGTGTAGAGTATAGTCAGCCAGCAACTTTAACATAGTTTCAAAAGTCTCCTTCCTTCTTGTATTGTGATTTGGACATCAAAATCATAATTAAAATTTAACACATTTAAAAATTAAATTAGCAAAGATCTCATTGTACAGCTATCTATCCATTTTATTTGATTGGTTACACAAATAAAAAAAGCCTCATTGTTGCTGTCTTTAATGCTGGTGAATGGATTTCGAACTGTTTAGAACACCTGTGTTAGATGTGTCTGATTTAACACCTGCCAGCCAATCAGAATCAAGAATTTTCAATGGCAAACAATTTGTGGTTATTAGGGAAATCATATAAGCTGAAACAAAGAACAGTGTGTCCATTCGCCCAGTACTTTGGAGCAGCGTCTCCAGGTACAGTGCGGGATGCCAGATACAGGCTTGCAAACCTAACAGCCTCACTTGCGATGGCGATACATCAGGAACCTGTGCACAGTCTCTGAACCTGACTATTTATCACCCCTAAAACTACAAACTGTTGTTTTCTAATCTGTTTGTGTACGGATTAAACAAAAAAGACACATGTTAATTAGGAGCTTTAGAGGTGTCGGTAGGTCTATTTTTTAACTTTGGAAAGAGGCTAGCTGTTTCCCCCTGCTTCCAGTGTCTGTGCTAAGCTAGTCTTTCAACATCCTGTCTCCAGAGATCAGAGTGATATCCATCTCCTCATCTCGCCCTCGAACTGAATGTGAATAAGCATGTTTCACACAACTACTCCTTCACGGATTTGCATATTTTGTGTAATGTGTTGTAACTGTGAGCAACGACATCTCTGGTTCCTTGCTGTTGTTTCTGTCCCCCTTTTTTACAGATTACTTTATTGTTATTCATTATTTAGAGGTTCTGAGTGATGCCAGATCTGATCGCAGGACCTTGTTTCTCATGCACTCATGAGAATGTGGGCCTACTATAGTCTGTTATGTAACAAACAGTGTCCAAACACATGTGGGATTGTATCTACAATCCTCTCAGCACTCCACACTGGCTGTCATGAAATGAGGCATCACAGTAGTTAAAGACAGAACCAGGGCCTGAACTGATATCCTTATGGATTCATTTAAATGACTTCAGCTACATGCTCTCCTCTTTCACTGATACACTGTTTCCAATCGCTGTGTGAAAATGGAGGCATTGATTTTTTATGGCACAGGGATCCTTGGTTACTGGTGGTAGAGCTCTGCCATGAACAGCAGCTTTGAGAGCTGTGATTGGAGCAGGCAGCTCCCTGCACTGCTCCCATTGGCTGCTTTCACAAATACACTTGCCTTATTACATACAAAGCTCCACCCTGCTGTACAGAGAAGGGGGAGCCAAGGGGTATACGTCAGGGTGATTTTCCCCTATGTTCTGTCTTACAGGCTGGATGTTCAGCCTGGCTGTTCTGTTCCCTTTAGAGCTGTTTTTGTTTTGTTGTTGTTTTGTCTTTTTGCCTCGCTATGCAACAAAGGATAGAACTGATGATAACAGACTGAAGGCATTATGATAACATGTATAAACTAGAGACCATCTTGTGATGAGGTCATACCAGAGTACTCAGTAGATGTTACTACATGAGTACTCAGTAGTTATTACTACATTATTACATGAGTACTCAGTAATTATTACTACATTATTACATGAGTACTCAGTAGATATTACTATATTACATGAGTACTCAGTATTAATTACTACATTATTACATGAGAACTCAGTGGTCATTACTACATTATTATTACCATGATGTCACATAAACACACACACACGCACGCACGCACGCACGCACACAGCCTCACAAGATGAAAACAATATCAGCCTCACTGTTGCAGCTGATGATAATGTACTTAAACAGTCAGAGACAGACAGTAATTCACAGGTGGGGAACCAGGGAAACATAACGGCAGAGTGTACAGTATCATCCCTTGTTTCATATATCCATGCAAAATATTTACAAAAAAATGTACTCTTGATATTACTAGTACACTAGTCCAGCAGTACAACTAATGAGTAAAAAGTAAAGTAAAATACATAAAGTGAGTGACAAATAAGTAAAATACATAATGTATATTACTGTAGCATTGAGTAAGAGGTAAACTGAAGGAGTAGCACTGTGAGAAGCTTTCACTAGGCCTATAGTTTTGTTTTTTTATTGTGGCATAAGATTGTGTTAAAACCTGCTCAGACCACCTCTTCACGCAGTTACATGGTCATTATTGTGGCCATGGCTCAAGAACACACAACTCTCCAAAATCACAAAACACCTTTCATTTCATTCACTTGTGGCTTCTTTCAGTTTGTTGCACATGTTTTTCATTTACTGTAGACTGATATGTGCATCAAAATACAATGTTTAATGTAATGAGTAGTCTGGTGGATTCCACAGAAACATCAATGGTGATGTTCCATTTGCAGCCCTGTCTCCTAGAAATCACATTTCTACACAACTAAACTATAATTGCTAGTTATTGTGTTTTTAGGAAAAATAATCTCTGGATGAATTATGTTCATGATCATGTCTGAATCAATTAACATCAGCAGACGACGTGGTTGGGGTGGATGTCGGCTACACAAAGCGCATGAGGTATCACATCAAAGACCATGGTTTATATTCAGACCCCCAGTGGTTTAGAGAACACAAAAAAAGCTCTTTGGTTAAGGTTTGGGAAAGATGGTGCTTTTGGTTAAATGTAAATAAACAAGTTGTGTCTGAAGTCACTGTGAACCTCTTTTTGTACTAAACCAGACCAGGATCTTTCCTGAAGCTTAAACTCTATTAATTTTTATTGGTTATGATTAATCTGATGAAACATTATATTGCTCCTGTAGCTAACTCCTTACTCTAGAGAGAGCTGCGGGGATGACATATTTCTGTAGGCCAACCCACATGTTAGCGTCACTCCGGTTTCCCTCCATTTTTCCATTGTCTTTTGGATTATTAGAGAAAATAAACAACAGTTTCTGATCCTGACAGGTTTAGTTCAGCAGGATCATCTTCACTAATGAACATCACTTCATGATGTTTGAAGCATAAATACATTCATCAGAAATAAAAAGCTAATGCTAGGCTATAAACCAATGACACCACGGTCACATGACTTCAACATCACCACCACTAAACAAAAGCCTTTCCTCTGACAGAGTTAGCGACAGTTGGTATTAACACAACGAGACTGTAAAGGTGGACTGGTGAGTCAGTCGGTTTTCATGTTCAATGTGATGATGTTTAACATCCCTGACAACCTCTGTAGTCTCATTTAGACACTTGTTAGCAACCAGCCTTTTTTTTATCAGATGTAAAAGCTTCAAGAAATCAGGACTGGAGTATTTACTGATGCATTTTATGTTGTAGAATAAAATGTGAAAATGTCTTGTGTTTTAACCACATACCTTATTTCAACCAAAATCCCATTCAATAGGAAGTAACAGGAAGCACTAAAATGCTAACTAATTTCCGGGTTTTAGGACTCATTCCTGCAGCAGTCTATATGGGGTGGTGTGAGCTTAAAGCTTAATGGCCGACCAATCAGAGCTCAGTCTGCTGCTCTGTGGGTTGGACTGACTCACTGCCTGCAGGCTTCAATTGAAGAGAGCCATCTTTGAATTAAAGTGTTCATGTAATGGAATAAATGGGAAGACACATGAGTAATAGCCAAATTAAAATTTCCTTTTTATTGTTAAAATTTATTCCACAATTTAGCCCAATTTGAAAATTCAAATATTCAAGGGATTGGATTATTAAAAAAGCAAGTTTAATGATTTAGATAAATTTAAAAAAAATGTATCTATTTATTGCAGTTAAACAGAAATCTCATTTTAAGGTCCCCTCATGCAGAGTGCGCCTCCTCTGACCGCCTGTCAGACAACACTGAGGGCACACTACCACAGCACACAGCGTTTTCTCCTGGTACCTAAACACATTGTTAAAACGCCGCTTGATAACGTTCATGAATTATCGCTTCATCCACCGCTGTCCGTGAGGAAAAGTGACCGGTGAGCACCTGCCTTCACACTGCAGCTTCTCCTCCGCTGGATGATCTGACCGGAGCGCGGTGAGTGCTTCTCTCCATCACACTGAGCCGCTCCGACAATTTGTTGACATTTTTCACATTCAGCGCCATTTGCAGACAGGTACACCTACCGCCCCTTTTATTGTTCCCGCTGTCAAACGCGCTGTTTTTCGTTACGGAACAAACGGCACCAGGAAAATCGGGAGGTGTTTTTATTTATAAAATCTTTACATTGATCTCTTAGACTTGAACATGATGTGTGATAATAAAGCGAGGCTGTAGGATCATAATAAGAACGAGAGCGGATGGACTCATAGTTACTTTTCATATTTTATCGCGGTGAAACGAGAACTTGCAGCTGTTTTTTTATTATTAATTATTGCTTTGTTAATGTGTAAATAATGTATCATATATTAATGCTCTCATAGTTTCTGCAGTGGCTGTAAACAGCTCTCGTGTTATCCATCTCTGACACAGTGGGAGCAGGCGTGAGTGTTTTTCCATCTACGGACTGTAGAACCATCATGGATACTAATCATGTGCTTTTAATTGTTCTGGTCAAAGAAACAAAGTTGCAGACGAAAAATGTTCTGTTACAGCTGCAAACACTACACACTGTGTTTCATCAGGGGCATTTCTAACTACTGTCTGCCACAGTCAAAATGTAAAACACTGCATTTACAGTCATCAGTTAGACACTGGAGTATGAGGGAGTTAATATAGGCCCATTGTCATCTTATCATTTTATTTGCATATCTGATTTTGAATTGATTATTGTATAATCAGGCAGCATCTCTATATGCAAATAATATTATATATTATATATTATATTCTATATTTTCTTCCTCTCCTGTGTTTTATTTGAAGTGTTGATACATTAGATATATGTGTGGTTTTAAGAACCAAAAATCTATCTCAATCTAGAAGGACTGCATGATATGAAAAAAAAAAAAATCATTTTGCGATTATTTTGGCAGAAGCTGATTATTGTATAATCAGGCAGCATCTCTATTTGCAAATATTTAAATATTTAAAGCTCCATATTTTCCTCTTCTCCTGTGTTTTATTTGAAGTGTTGATCCATAAGAAGATATATTTGTGGTTTTAAGAACCAAAAACCATGTAGTAGGGCTGCACAATATGGAAAAAAAAATCATATTGTGATTATTTTGGCAGATATTGCAATTACGATGTGGGATTGCAATTTCAGTTGGAATGGTTGTTTTATCATTTAATTTTAACTGAAAAAAAATTGAAATTGATGATGATGTGATTTTTGTTGGATGGTGGGTCCAGGTGGGCGGGGCTTGGGGCATGGCTGAGAGCAGTGACTGCTTTGTTGTGACAGCACAAAGTTCCAGAAATCCTGACGGCTGGTTTTAAGGCTCAGTTTCTGAATACAGGCTGTGTGCATTTCTCTGTGGACTGAGGCTTTGATACTTTCACAGTATTAATATAGAAGCTAGACCTGATCTATAATCCAGCAACACATGGACATCTACTTAAGACTATACACAGCTTTAAAATAGCCCTAAAATAATGTCTCCTTGCAGAATGCTACTGTTGAAGGTAGATGACTGTAGGACTCAGCTGCTATTACTAATAATAATCATATTCATATATTGTTGAACCTGACCAGAATGTCTCTGTTGTTGTCAGTTTAGTCACATATACTGGACTTGTCATTATTGACATATCCATGTTTTTGAATGTGTTTTCATCCATTTTACTACAGTATCAGAATCATTCCACAAAGAAATAAAACCAATGTCTGTTAGGTCATTTAAGGACAAGACTAATTCTTTGTTGTGCTGCTGTGTGGTGATGCAGTGCAGACTTTACACTTCACTAGTAAACACTTCTATCAGAGGTTGGTGTGACTGACCACATGTCAACGTCAGCCTGATCTTGTTCTTTTAACATCTTATTTGTCTTTGCAACTCTTTCACATTTGGTCCACTCAGTGGTCTTTTTTCTTGCATGACTTGCTTTGTGTCTTTGTGAGTGTGAAAATGATCTAATGTGAGACAGCAAAGAACTGCTGGGCACAAATCTCTAACTCCTGAGTATGCCACTGTGCTATGGCTGAGTGATATGACTTCAAATCAATATCACCATTATTTCAAACCTTTACCTCGATTATGATCAATTACTTTGGAGCCATGCACTTCTTCTTCAGCAATGTGATTGTGTTCCAGGTGATTAAACAAATTGTGGGAATTACCTTTTGGTCGTTATCCATGTCGCATTCACCACTGTCTGGTAGTTGTGACTGATAAGACCCAATCAGGAGGCGAGGTGGGTGTCTGAGTCAATGTTTCTAAAAGTCTCAGTTTTAAGGGCTCAGAAACTCTGGAGTCAAGTGGACACAAGGTGTAAACTAAGCAAAAATGATGCATTTTAAAACTAAAATATGTTGGCTGTAGCCTGAAGCTCAGTGTTTGTGTCATTCATATCGCCAGCTTCACTTTGACTGAACGTGGACTAACGTTAGTTGGACTGGGTGGAGTCATATGACTGAACACGAGGTAGAGGACAGTTCACTGGGGAACGTATTAACTGAATTAACCGACACGAGCAAGATTAAGTCGGTTTTGCTACTTGTTCGGTTAATTGCCCAGCTGTACACACAGCTGTGATGCAGATGTGTACCTCAGTGCAGCTGCAGCTTTTACTTAAAGGCCCAATCCTTCATTTTTTTGTTTTTTTTGTTTTACATCATTGGAGATGCATTTTAAAAATGCATGAAAACATAGACCTGTTTTCCTGCTGTTTACACAGAAATGACTGATGTACACAAAGCTGAATGCATGTGTTGTTGAAGTGTAGTGTAGTAAAAGACTTCTCAGTCAGTGTGAGAGTGACTGTAGCCTCCAGTTGTGTCTGTGTGTTGTGTAATTGTACCTGTAGGAGTCACTGTGCTCTGAAATGTTACCTGTGTACCTGCAGGGGATTTGAACCAATGAAACACTGTACATGTGCAGGATGAATGGATAACGGGTGCTCGCTGTGGCGCTCTGCCACTTCTTCTTCATGACTCTCTTGACTCATCTGCCTCTTTATCTGTCTCTATATTTATCTCTTCCCTCCTGATTTCTTTCACACTGGCATGTTCATCATGTACAACGTCGTGTTTGCTCTTCATCGTTGGACACTGAAGAGGAGGAGATATACAGTGCGCCTGCATGAACTGCTTTGTTCACTCGCTGTGTTGTTTGTTGCACATTTAACAAACACTGACATAAATGTCCTGGAAGAAGAAGTGGACAGAAGGAAGAAGGAATAACACCATATATAACACCAAAAACAAACACTATTGATTTATGTGTCCAAAAGTGGACCCTGCCATTTCTTAACCTGACCGTTAGCTGAGGGTCGTGTTTGCTGCCTCACTCTCATCAGTGGCTCACGACCTCTCTGTTACTGTGCATTGCGCAGACACTATAACTAGCATTAGCTAACTATCTAGCTTATTTAATACACTTTACTTTTGTTCCTTCAGAGTTTCGGAATTAGATTGTGTCAAGTAGCTTCTATAACAGTCCTTTTGTTTTTACTTAGGAAATCAGTTTTACCTGTTGGGTCATTGATCAATATTAAAATTCATGTTCTAGACGCTCTGGAAGAGAAAGTTAATGAACATTCAGTTAGGATTATCTTGTGCTTGGTTTTTGGTGTGGACAATTTCATCAACACCAGCATGATGAGTTTAACTGGCAGAGAGACAGGACTTTGGTGTTGTGGTGTCATAACAGCATGGCTGTGTAACATTATGATATGTTGATGCAGATTTAGATACAGATGAAGAATTCTAAATAGTTTTATCATGAAAGGACACGTGTTGAGGATGGTGCAGGTTCAGAGGTGTGTGCTTCCATCTCTGTCATTGGTGCCTCCTGTCTCCAGCATCTTTATCCCTGAGGCCTGGTTGGCAGCGTGACCCCGTGCTGCTCTCTTCACACACACACACACACACACACACACACACACGCTCTGATATATTTCAGGTCTTTGTGTGTTTCTGGGCTTTTGTCTTTGCTTGTGTCTTTCATCAAATATTCCTGCCTCTGATTTCATCTGGGTCAGGCTGACTTTCAGTTTCTGGGCTGTATCCAGAGCTCATGCTAGCAAAGCAACTCTGTGTGTGTGTGCGCGCGCGTGTGTGTGTGTGTGTGTGTGTTGGGGGCGAGGAGGAGGGAGGAGTGTCCAGTGGTGACTGATAGACATCAAGCTTCCTCTGGCCTGCACATCAGCACACAGCAGCCTTTAATCCCACACAGGGCCCGATTAAATTTAAAGCCGCTTTCAGTCCTTAAGCTCACTCTCAGCACTCTGACACAAACGACCACGCACTCAGAAATACAGATATGCCTAAGTATGTTTTCCCCTTTCACAGATGCATTTCATTTTCAACCTTTGAACCAAGCCCTACTCCTGTTCTTAAATGAATTATTTGATAATATGTATATATGGTTCTCAACTGCAAATATTTTAACTGCCAGGTACTTTGTGAGCGATATATCTATCTATCTATAGATAGACTCGGTTAGGTGAAGCCATGGAGCTGTATATGTATATACAATTCTATATATATATATATATATACAGCTCCATGGCTTCACCTAACCGAGCCAGTGAGGTTTGATTACATATTGTGATATGTCCCAGAACAAGCACATAGCAGCTCTGTGCACCCTGAGTGACAGACACACAGAGAGGACCGCTGAAAACTTGATGGACTTATTTATGGTCCAGTCTGACTGACAGGCGGCGGGATCTCAGTGTGTCTCTGAGAGACAGAGAGAGAGAGAGAGAGAGAGAGAGAGAGAAAGAGAGAGAGAAAGAGAGGGAGCGAGGCAAGGAGGGGCTGTGCTGGGCTGGTCAGCTTTACAGTGAAATAAGATTTTACCCTTTTCAAATAGAAACAAAATTGAAATTGAATTGAAAATCAATATGTGGTAGTCAGTGTTGATACTGGCAAATAAATCAATGTATGGGAAATGCTGCTGTTCTAGTTGAGGTGTAATAGTGTGTTTGAAGCA